GTGCCATGCCTTTGTATTTTCCAGAAGTTGTAGCATGGGAAGTTTGGCGAGAAGGCTGGCACGGTGGATCCGGGTGGCGATGTTCTGTATGAACTGAATTTGGGCACGAGCTATCCCCAATTCTAGACGCAGAGCTTTTTCCATGCGAGCTCTGTCGTCAACCCCCAGGACTATAAGGATGTCTGTGGAGCAAGTCGAACTGAATGCTCCCCACTTCGTAACACAGTGCAACAGTCTCGAAGAAGGATGCTCCAACTCGGATGTGGGGGAAGGGACTTGAGAATCAAGCCCATGGATCTCCTCATCTGAAATAATATCAACGTCTCGTTGGAGCTCAACATCTTCTTCTTCGGCCTCACACATTTGCTTCATCATACGGGCTTGAGCATCAAGCATAAAGTGGGGGTCGTCGACTTGTGCCTCGATTGAGTCGATTTGTGCTGTAAGAATCTCTATTTGTGTGCTCAGTCGAGCACATCCAAGCTCAATCTCCACATCTCGAGTGGTCTGGGCAGATATGCGAGCAAGGATGAGGTCAAACTTTTCATCGTAAGTCAAAGTAGCCTCCCGAGCTCCATTCCTATGTGTAGATTTGCCTTGAGCGGTGGGCTCGGGAGTGACACTGGTAACTCGATCCTCTAAGGATTGCACGCGCCCCACTAGGTGCTCGATTCTGGACTCCAGATTGCTCCTACCGGCCGCTTGGGATGCCAAAAGAGCGAAGGCCTGATCGAGCTTGGCATTATACTCTGAGAAGTCCTCGAGGGACTCATATGATTGCTCGACAGGCTAGGAATCTCACTGCTGCTCGTAGGGATATGAATAAGTCTGGCCGTAGTCCCAAGAATCATGGTAAGGAGGTGGTTGGTTCGGATGGGCACACCGGGCTACGGTCTCTTCTTCCTGAGCTAACCGGGATGCTGCAAAAGCCTAGATATTGTCGAGCTTCTCGTTAAACTCGTGGAACTCATAAGTTTGCTCAACTGTGTAGGGATCCCAGCACAGCTCGGAAGAGTACGGATATGACTGGTAGTAGCACCCGACATGGTATGGGGGAGCACACGGTTGT